AGAGAGAGAGAGAGAGAATTAATGGATTCTAAGGGAGTTCCCTTCATTCTTTTGCTCTTGGTTTCTTTCCATGCTCACTTCTTCTCAACTTTGATTGTGGATTAGGATATGTGAAGGTTTTGCAATCTCTTGGTATCATATGTCGTTTGCTGCGATTAAGTTGAAGGCAAGAGCACGAGTTCTTGGGATTCAAAGTGCACCAAGTTGGATTGTAGACCTTGGAAAATTTTGTGATTGTTTATCCATTTATTTTTTTAAATGTAGGGTTTTGTGTATGTAAATTATCTAACTCGGATGTTTTTTTTCCTCCCCCTCTCCTTTTCACTTCTTTATGTCCCCCTTTGAGGCCCAATAGTTTAATTCTCCTAGCATAGTGGGCCTCCATTACAAATTCAGATGGCAAATATAAGCCCATTATACGCGGTTGGGCCTTAGAAGTTTGTTGTAACTAGCTTTGTAAATATAATATACCAACTATAACAAGACTTTTGTCAAATTCTAAATATTTTTAGAAACATTATATGAATGAATAAGAAATTTATAATTCAAAAGAATCTAACAATAAGATAAAGGGAAAAATGCTTCCAGACCCCAAATTCGTAACAAGTATGCTTCCCCCTCCCAAGACTTTTTCAACGCTCTAAAAACCCCCAAATTCGTAATAACTATGCTCTGAGCTCCCAAAACACAAAGCCTAAGAATTTTACACAAGTAAAGACTATAATACCCATTCTCTCTCTAATATTATATTCGTAATAACCATACAATCCGTCCTCTCTCCCTCCTCCTTCCCCCACCATTTTTGCCCTAGTCCCCTCTGTCCCTTCTGCAACCCTCGTGGCGGCCGAAGCTCCCCTCCGGTCTCACGCCTCGACCCCTCGCCTCTGCTCGTCGAGATCCTCTATGTCCACCGCTGATCCCAGCGCGGCATCCGCTCGACCCCTCGGCCTCCGCTCGTCGAGAATATTTCATGAAGCTCAGGACCTCAACATTAACCTGTCCCTGCAGCCTGGGCCTCGTCCCGAGCACGCACGAGTTTTCTCGTGTAACTATTGCAGACGGACTTTTTTACAGCACCCAAGCTCTTGGAGGACACCAGAATGCACACAAGCTGGAGCGCAACCTAGCGAAGAGGAGCAGAGAGATGGCTAATGATTGAATTGATCTCGTAATGACACGTGCGAACTTGATGTTGCTTTGTAGCTTCTGAAACTAATGCATCTAGATTTACTAGCAACAGAGTTTCTTCCTGTCACATGTTTTCTTTTTGGGATCTTTTTCTTTTTTTATTTTCCCCCTTCAAAATAAGTTTTCCTGTTCGAAAAAGAATGCCTCTTCTCTCTTGCATCAACGGTATTTTCTTTCTTCACGTTTAGTATACATGTACCCAATGATAGTTATCTTTTCTATTTGCAGATAAGGTTACGGTTGTTAATGTTACGGGTTGTTAAGATTACGGGTTGCTTGTTAAGGTTACGTGTTGCTTGTTAAGATTACGGTTTGCTTGTTAAGGTTACGCGTTGATTGTGAAGATTAAGCTTAACAACCAACCCGTAACCTTAACAACCAACGCGTAACGTTCACAACCAACGTGTACCCTTAACAAGCAAACCCGTAACCTTCACAAGCAACCCGTAAAACCTTCATAAAAATAAAAAAAGGAAGGAAATAGAAAAAAAGCTTTAATTTTTTGTACTTCTACTATAATAATTCATAACTTCATAAAAATAAAAAGCAGTAACAATTCTACATTTTCCTTCAGAAAATTCATGCTTACATCACCACATAAAACTGTGCAATGTATGATTACTTTCATTTTACCACTCAACACTCACTGAGGAGGTGGACTGCCATGGTTTTGAGACCGTTGACAGGGTAGAGGAAAAAGACGATGATGCATACATTTGTTTTAGGTAGTGGGAGTGAGCTAGATTTTGTAATAATATTTCACTTTTAATTTTAATGAAATTTTCAAAAGCCAAATGATTTATGTGTTGGTTGTTAAGGTTACAGGTTGCTTGTTAAGGTTACACGTTGGTTGTTAAGGTTACATGTTGGTTGTTAAAGTTATATGCGTTGGTTGTTAAGGTTTCAGGTTGCTTGTTAAGGTTACGTGTTGGTTGTTAATTAAGGTTACGAATTTTCAAAAGCCAAACGATTTACGTGTTGGTTGTTAAGGTTACAGGTTGCTTGTTAAGGTTACACGTTGGTTGTTAAGGTCACGTGTTGGTTGTTAAAGCTAAGGTTACACGTTGGTTGTTAAGGTTACGGATTACTTGTTAAGGTTACGGTTAACCTTAACAACCAACGCGTAACTTTAACAAGCAACCCGTAACCTTAACAGCCAACGCGAAACCTTAACAAGCAATCCGAAACCTTAACAAACAACGCGTATAACCTTAACAAGCAACGCGTATAACCTTAACAACCAACACGTAACCTTAACAAGCAACGCGTATAACCTTAACAACCAACGCATAATTTCAACCAGAAACAGATGAAACATGAGTAACCTTAACAAGCAACGCGTATAACCTTAACAACCAACACGTAACCTTAACAAGCAACGCGTATAACCTTAACAACCACGGTAAATTTCCCTGCAGAAAAAGATGAATGAAGTATTTAACACACACGCACAAGTTGTATGAAAAGACATAAAATATAATAATTTCCAAGAACGACAGCACTATAGATGGTGGGGGATGATGGACCTGAGGGATGGAGAGGGGGGTTTGATGTGTCGTCTGGGGGAGGAGGGATTGGGTTGGGAACAGAGGCGAGGGGTTGAGCGGAGGCCGCGCTGGGATCGGCGGTGGACACGGAGGATCTCGGCGAGCGGAGGCGAGGGGTCGAGGCGTGAGACCGGAGAGGAGCTTCGGCCGCCACAAGGGTTGCAGAAGGGACGGAGGGGGCAAGGGCAAAAATGGTGGGGGAGGGAGGAGGGAGAGAGGACGGATTGTATGGTTATTACGAATATAATATTAGAAAGAGAATGAGTATTATAGTCTTTACCTGTGTAAAATTCTTGGGCTTTGTGTTTTGGGGGCTCATAGCATAGTTATTACGAATTTGAAGGTTTTTAGAGCGTTGAAAAAGTCTTGGGAGGGGGAAGCATACTTGTTACGAATTTGGAGGCTGGAAGCATTTTTCCCTAAGATAAAATACAAAGTGGTCCATAGAAGAATACAATAGTATCCAATGTTGTCATTATTTATTAACTTTTCCCGACCAAATTTCTTCTCAGAGCTGCAGCGGTTCAAGTGACAGCTTTGCTCTATTATTATAATTGAAATGAAGAGTCATTCCTTTTGTTGCCAAGACAGCTAAAAACACTCTGCCACCAGTCACGTTACCAGCTGGCAATGGACCACTCAATTTTTTCGTCAAATATATCATAGGAATAACTAAGTTAATTGGAATATAAATGCAATGTTTATTGTAGACAACGAGCTCAAAGTCAAATAAGGATTTAATGAGAACCACCTCTGTGGAAATAAAATGGTTTGTATTATACATGACAGATAAGAGAGGTAACGTTCAGAAAATGGGAATATTTTGATAGAATTTGCACTTTTCATATTCATCCTTTTATTCGCTTCACAGGATATTTTGATGTTCTAGGTACTTATTCTTGGTTGGGGATGTGTACTATTTTTGTAACAACCAATTTTATCTAATTTAGCTGGTTGGATTACTATTTTGGTAATCCATCTTTTTTCTCAAAAAAAAAATAATAATAATAATGAATTTAGAATCAAAATACATAAGAAGCAATGTTTTTTTTTTCACGGTTAAAAGAAGCAGGGCACCATCTTCATACGTAAGAATATATTTTTTATCTAATAAATTGTTTTTGAAATATACTTTTCTTAATGAAACTCATAAAACCGTCTTCACTATATTCTATTCAAAAGCGCATTCTATTTTCATGGAGAAACACTCAATTTATAGGGGCATCATTCTCTCAATCACCATCGTTTCAAACCTCCCTCAAATTAATCTACTCATTAATTGCAAAATAATTGGCATTAACAGCCCAATATAAAGTTTGATCAAGAGCCCATTGATTCTTTCTTAATAGCTATTAATGTCAATTATTTAATCATTTCACACATGGTTTTTCCGTTGATTTGATCAACCTTACTAACAGCGATACGTGAAAATGAAGATTCAAAACTAACTAAAAGACAAAAAACGGTTACAAATTAATAATACAATTATTAGAAGCATATAGACATTGTAATTACTAAACTATTTCTCTTTTCTACTCATGTACGGGTCACAACATCTTGCTCCTAGACAGCTATCTAGATATATAATATGTGAACGTTTTCTACTCATGTACGGGTTACAAAGTAATAATATAATTATTTTCTTCGACCAGACCCGCATTTGGACTTGCGACTGTCTCACTTTGGCATAAACGTGTCTGCTGTGTGTTCTATATCACCATTGATTCTTTCTTAATAGCTATTAATGTCAATTATTTAATCATTCCACACATGGTTTTTCGGTTGATTTGATCAACCTAGCTTACTAACAGCGATACGTGAAAATGAAGATTCAAAATTAACTAAAAGACAAAAACGGTTACAAATAATACAATTAAATTACAAATAATATAATATGTGAAAGTTTTTCTAAGAAGTAAATAAATGCTTTATTAATGGTACATAAAATATCCCATTATTTCTTTTTTCATCACAAACGCCGTAGCCATATAATCGTAATCCACAACTTCTTTCTCCGTTGGCTCTTTATTTTGATGCCATGGAACACGTGTAATGTTTCCTATACGGGAGTCCGCATAGATTATCAGGCCGTCGCAAGAGCTGAGCTGTCTGCGGGAGAACACGTCCTCGCAGCTGTCTTTGTCCGATCCGACCCTCTTCACTTAACTATCGCGCGCGCCGCGCGTTTCCCACCAAAAAAAATAAAAATAAATAAATAAATAAATAAAAACTTTTTACAGACGACACCCACCAACAATTTCAAATTACAATCCGGGCATCTCGGTTCTATTCTGCTAATCTTTTATATAAAATCCCCCAACTGCGCTAAAAACGCCCTTTTTCTCGCTATGCCGTTTAGAATCTCGAATTAAAACTCAGGCGAGTATTATTTCGATCTCTTTCGATTTGATGCGTTTCTTCTCAGATTTATCCCCCTCATCGATCGCTTTCGTTTGGTTCTAGATCGGGGGAGGTGCTATGGCCCACAGAGTGGATCACGAGTACGATTACCTGTTCAAGATCGTCCTCATCGGCGACTCCGGCGTCGGGAAATCCAACATCTTGTCGAGATTCACGAGGAACGAGTTCTGTCTGGAGTCCAAGTCGACGATCGGGGTCGAGTTCGCTACCAGGACTCTTCAGGTGAGAGGTCTAAGCTCCCTGATCTGCGATCTTTGCTCGTTTCAGCTTTTAGATTTGACCTAGTTCTTGTAATTTGAGCATCCACGCTATCTCGAAGGGATCGA